GTGAGAAAGTATTCAAGCACCTCGACCCTGGCCATAAAGTTGTGCTCAAATGTCCCTACAGGGCTCGGTTAATTTTGTTGGCAGCGCTCGAAAGCTTCCTACCCTGTGACCCACACCGCTCAGCCAGCTCAGGCACGGCTCGCTGGAAGTGGCGGATGATGGTCGTCTTCACGATTACCGCCTTGGCGTGGCGTAGATGCTGCACCAATGTCGGGTCGCGCGACGCCTCGATGACGTCGGCATACCAATTATCCAGCACGTAGCCGACCGCCGTTGCGCTCGCCACGGGCCATTGTTGCGTGCGGAACGTGAAGATGGGCACGCGCTTATTCTGACGGTCCGTGATGCACCGTTCCATTGAGTAGGACCCAACAATGTACGCAGACGCTTTTATGGCGTGGAGCATCGGGGATGCGATGATGCCTGTACCATGCTGGATGCGCCAGTTCTCGCCCCACCACGCGGCGAGCGGGTTGGCCGGGGCCGTGATTTGGTGCGGGGTGGATGAGACGAGCGCCGTGGCGGGGAGCCGGACATTGTGAAACGAAGTGATGGAGAAATCCAGAGGGCCCGTTCCGCTGCGCGGAGGGAGACGAATGGATTTGACCCCGCGATACATTTCTTTCTCATTGCTACGGTGCTAAGACTCAGTTTCGGATGTCCGTATTAGATGCAGACGACGGAGCTTACCATATTGGAACGACGAAGTTCCTGCACCCGAAGTCTTCGCCCTTGTTGATCAAGCGGGCCATGACCAACGCCACCTTCGGGATTCCAAAGGAGGGCGTAGACGCGGGCATGAATCTGCCGCGCCAGGTAAATAAAAAATGCAAGATTAAGGGGATTCAACATTTACTTTGCAGCTTCCTCACGAGGTGTGTTGAGAACATAGGTTCCGTCAGGAAGCCGTGTGGCAGTAGTTTCGATATTGAATGAGTCCAAGCCATGACCGCGTTCAGTCAATAGGTACAGCCCGACCTTGTCGAAACGCAGAAGTTCCTCGACCAGCCCCTGCAAGTCCGGACGTGCATCCAAATGGCGACTTAAGGTTCCAATCGCAAGCCCAATATGGGCCATGAGGATGGTAAACATGCCGATATCCAAGCAGCACACGGGATCAGTGAATAGGTCCCAGAAGCGCTTGGAGCAGTTCTTCACATCTTCGACGGAGAGGCCTGCACGTCAGAGGCGGTGAGCTGGGGTGTCCTGCGCTAGGAAAAATGCAATGACCATGTACGTCCATCATGAGTTTCGCTCGCTCATATGCAAGTGAGACACGCTCATCCTTGGCGAGGTGCTCCACCTGGACGCGAAAGAGAGGATGCATAGAGAGTGTCGAAGTAGTATCTAACATATTGGCAACGTTCAAGATGATTTCGTAGGGGAAGAAGGTAAGTTTGGTTATCATTATAAGTATCTCAGGGAGAGCACCCTGTATCATTTTCGTACTTGCCTGCTCTATCTCTGGAGGACTTCAGCGACCATTGCTTTCCATCTTGATGTTCTGAGGCAAGTGCGGAGATCAATCAGCCAGCGGAAACAGTACATATGATATATCACATCACTGTGGTGAGAGATGGGCGGTGATGTATCATCGCCTGTTATCCACAGATGTGCATGATATATCACCTTAAGCACTCACCTATATCGGGTTGTAGATCCGAATTCCCATCCGAATCTGGGTGCTCATCCGGAGTCTGTGCGTCAACCTGATGCGACGCTGGCTGGCGTGGTTGGCGGGTGGCAGTGCTCGTTCAAGTTGGGTGATGGCGGCGTGCTTACGTATATTATGATCCCATCTCTTCCTCCTCCCGTTGCTCGTCGTTGATGGCGATGCCGGGAGATCGAGCTATCAAATCGAGGCGGCTGTATTCGCCCGCCATCTTGATGATCAATGGCCATGGTGCTCAAGCGATCCTCTGGGCACTGTTAAACTCAAAAGGGATGACCTGTAAGGTGATATATCATGCATATCTCTGCGGGAGAGCGTATGTATGGCGGGGTTTATTGGACAATAATCCAATGCAGTGCATGCAATTCAAGTGCAATGGGGTGCACCATCGGGCAATTAGATGCAGTAGGGTGCGAATGGAATGCAGGTTGATGCAGCCCGGTGCAGCGTCGGTTTTTCCCCATTCATAATTAAATGCCGGTGTGTATTTCGGTGTAGAAGGGTGCACGCCTTTGCATCAGTGCAGCGAAACAAGTACATTGCAGGACATTGCATTTATGCACTTCTTTGATGGCAACCGCCATCCGTTGGCTAATTATGCAACCTCATCCAGCTCTCTAGCCCCTATGTTATTTGCGGGAAACTCCCTCTTTGGGTCCAACTGTGTAGCACGGGCATTTGTAAGCACGCGACTTGTCAAAGTCTGTTGTTATCTTTCGTCCTCACCAAGCTCCTCCCTGAGCTCCGCCCAGCACGCAAGAACGAGCTCTGTCCCTGCATATGGTAAATGTCAATACTCCTCTCTCACAGCCTGGAATTTTGTATATACCGAGTGGGTATCTTGGTTCACAGTCCCCGGGTGCTGCTGGTACGTTGTTGAGTAGGAAATTAGGCGCCTAGGAATAGATGGTTTAGGGAGGAGATTTGGTTGGAAATAAAATGAACTAGCTTGTGAGGGTACTCTGAATAACTTGCCTAATAAAGCTTTGTACCTTCTATCTTTTGGACGGCTGAGATTACTTCTGCTTGAAACGGCAGTCCTGGCTGGGCTCGGCCTCGGCAGGGACGGGGACTTCGGCTTGCTCGTAACTGGCTGCCAATGAACTAACTAACTACTACGAACACGGGGAATTTATACCTTTTCCAGCGCCCGGGTCGCCTCCTGCGGTCCCTTTTGTTCAAATCGGAATTCCTCATGTGTCACTTTTATTACCAATGATCTTGCATGACTCCCACCTGACTCCCTGCTTGTCAGGATTGTGAATGCATAGCTCAGACTTTTTTTCTCTATGCCATTCAACCTGGATCCGCCCATATCCGGTGAGTTTCCCAATTTGGGCGGGTTTTGGAGAGAAAAAAAATCAGTTGCATCTTGTTGCACTGCGCACGAAAATGCAGTCAGATGCAAGTGAGTGCAGTGCATTTGACACTGCACTCAAGTCTCATGGATCATAATGCAGTAGCACCGTAATGCAATCTCATGCACCCTTGCATTGATGTGCATCAAGTTGCATTTGTGATTTGCATTAGGTTGCATCGGGTTGCATTGTATTGCATGCACTGCATGCGGTGCATTGGGATTATTGTCCAGTAAATTCAGTCATACGTATGATATATCACCGCGCGACACTAATTACAGCACGGTGATATATCACCCTGCCAAGATGTGGTCAGAAAATCCCTTCAAACACCTTACGTTTTCTACGAGTCAACCGTGAGCAACCGACTAACGAGAGCGAATCTTCGTTAGACGTGACTCACGAGAGCAAATCTTCGAGTCTTAGGATTGCCCTACTAAACCTTAAAGCAAGCGCGCAACTTTGCCGTAAAGTAGCTGTGGGTTTAAACTATTCACGCGAACTGAAGTTCAATGAGATAGTTGGGGTACAAGATTGATTATATTCACATGTAGCTATCTACGGAATATTCTACACTATTCTGCAGTAGTCTACTGTATTCTGCGCTGTCCAATTCGAGTCATCGGGCTGTGTTCGAGTTAACCAGCGCTCGATGTTGAGTTGATTGAGACTCCATACAGAAGAAGGAAGTCCCATCACAGCCATCCGCCTCTGACTTCTACTCCGAACCCGAGACCCGATTCCGCCAGCCACTTCGGCTACCCCGCTTCCTTCCACTGGCTTCGACGGTGCGCTTCGCGAATTAACGCGCCGGTTCCCGGGCGTCCACCTGCCCGATTCGTCTGGGTCTCGATACTAAGGGACATGGGCTGCCAAATCCGGACGATCCAACGCTGCTAAGTAGCCCGGTTCGGCGCTTACTTAACGGAGTGATTAAAGACTTGCGTAATGAGGCGAGTGAGTGAAGAGATAGCGACCGGGGTGCGTGCACCCGACCTGACGCGATGTTGACCCGACCCGAGAGCTCCGAGTCAGACCCTGCTACATTAAGTCACTGAAAGGCGACATGGATACGTTCTAGCCGTTAAGCGCAGCCTAGAATCCGTCCTGACTCTTTGCGTCGCGTCGCGTCGTCTTTCTGCTGCTCGCTCCTGTCTGCCAGAAGGCCTACGAGTCAGATGAGTATGCCGTTTTCTGTTCGCTCGGGGACAGGCGGACGTGTCTGCTGTTGGCTATTTGAATTCGATGGAAGAGGCGCGAGGCTCTCGAAAGTGTACATATATCGAGCCTAGGATCGGGTGAAGGAAGCGGACGTGGTGTACGGCACACCGCTGCGTTCTATGGTGCAGAGGTGCGAGTACAAGCAGTTGAGCGGGGTTCGACTCCCCGCGTCCGCCTTATTCTTCATCATCTTTTTTTGTAATTGAAATACGGTTCAAACGCTGAGATTAAAAGAGGGTGAGAATCGCAGGAGGAAAGCGGACGTAGTGCACGACGTACCGTTGTATTGCATGATGGTGGTTGTCAAGAAGTTGAAGCGGTTGAACGAGGTTCGATTCCCCGCATCCGCATGTACTTTGAGCGTCGGCTTTTTAATCAGAAAAGCGGTGACTCAAATTAGAGAGCGCAGGAATAGACAAACAAAGCGGACGTGGTGTGCGGCGCACCACTGCATCTAATGGCGGGGTTCCTCAAAGCTGAAGCAGTAGGTCGCGGGGAAAACAGGGGCTTTTACTCAAAGTACCTGAAAGTTTTAGATGAGATGAAGGAGAAAATGAGATTCGGGAGCGGACGTGGTGCACGGCGCACCGCTCAGGCTTCATTCTGTGAGATTTTGGATACGACGATTGAAGCAGTTGATCGGGGTTGCTCCCCGCGTCCGCACAAGTAGGTTGGATACGAGGCGGTTTTTTCATTGGAAAATGGTTCGAACGACCCGGATTAAACGAGCGCAGGAATGGAGGGATGAAGCGGACGTAGTGCACGGTGCACTACTGCGGAGTGTCCGGGATCATGGAATAAATATCCAAGCAGTTGGTCGGGGTTCGACTCCCCGCGTCCGCGTAATCTTTCTCCGACGAATTTTTTTTTCTCTCAGAGCCTCAAAATCCCAGAAGAGAGCAGATGGAGGATAAGAGGAAGGAAGCGGACGTGGTGCACGACGCACTACTGCACTCCCTACAAGAGTGAAGTGCAAAAGATTAAAGCAGTAGCGTCCGCCTAGGTCTATGGTAATTCTTTTTTCCCCTTATCGAGGGACCTCAAATGCCTGGATATAATGAGGCTAAGGATAAAGGAAGGAAGCGGACGTGGTGCACGGCGCACCGCTGCGTTCTATGGTGCAGAGGTGCAAGTACAAGCAGTTGAGCGGGGTTCGACTCCCCGCGTCCGCCTTATTCCTCGTCATCTTTTTTTAATTGCAATACGGTTCAAACGCTGAGATTAAAAGAGGGTGAGAATCGCAGGAGGAAAGCGGACGTAGTGCACGACGTACCACTGCATTGCATGATGGTGGTTGTCAGCAGTTGAACGAGGTTCGATTCCCCGCGTCCGCATATACTTTGAGCGTCGGCTTTTTCATCAGACACGCGGTGACTCAAACGAACTTGATTTAGAGAGCGCAGGAATAGACAAACAAAGCGGACGTGGTTTACGGTGCACCACTGCATTCTGTGAGCAGTTAGGACCCAATATCAAGGCAGTTGATGGGGTTCGACTCCCCGCGTCCGCATAGAATTGCCCCGTGTAACACCTCTTTTTTCATCGCGAGAGGGAGCGAAATCTGAAGGAGATGAGCGCAGGAATAGATGGGGAAACGGGACATGGTGCACGGTGCACCACTGCCTTCCTTGTCCAGGGCACAAAGGAATTGCAAGCAGGTGATGGGGCTCGACTCCCCGCGCCCGCTTTACTCCTCCATCATCTGTTTTTTTTAGTTAAAGTGCCTCAAATGTGTAGATAAGAGGAAAATATGTATGAATAGAGAACAGAGGCGGACATGGTGTACGGCAAACCACTGTATCGAATGAAGAAGGTAAATTCGAGAGTGAAAGCAGTAAGTCGGGGTTCGACTCCCAGCGTCCGCATGTGCTCTGACTCGTTACCTTTTTGGATCAGAATAGCGGCACAATGAGCCTAATTTAACGAGCGCAGGAAAAAAGAGAGGAAGCAGACGTAGTGCACGGTGCACCTCTACACCAAATGCGACTGTCCGTTGTATCCAAGTTACTGTAAAGCAGTCGATCGGGGTTTGACTCCCCGCGTCCGCATTGATCGAACTCATCATCCACCTTTGTTTTTCTTCAGTACTTGATATGTCTGGATGAGAGGTATACATAAGGACGATGCTGTAGAAAAGGTGGCGGAAAGCAGAGGTAGCGCCGCTGAAGTCTCCTCCAGGTTCAAACACTGGTACTTGACGATGTGAGTCGGATGTTGAATAATGCCGGAACATATATAGATTGAGACTACGTGTAAAGTGAGCTGCACGGAAAACTACTCGAATATTAGATCTACGCTAAGGAGTGAGGAAAGAAAATTATACGCAAACGCTGTACAGCAAAATAAGCGAGAGGAGGTGAGGGGTCAAAAATTACAGGTTGAGGGAATAAAACATACAAGAATGCAATGCACAAGCAAGCAAGGGAGGTAAGGGAGCATAAACAGCGAATAAGTAGCGCGGGCGTGGTTCCCGCACAGCGGCCAGGCTACAAGACGCCCGAGCTCCGCGGACTTCCGGCAGCGGTTCCGCCTGCGCCTCGCTTGACACCCCCTCGCCAGGCTCCTCATCCACCCACTTTGGGGCCTCTTCGCTCCCTGCGCCCTCACCGGCCTTGCCCACCCTGTCCCCGGCCTCTTCCAACCCCCATCGTCGCCCCCGCCCTCCCCGCCCCGCCTCTCGCGCAGCCGCTCCTTGCCCTCTCGCACTCCGCCCCCCGCGCGCCGGCTCGCCCTTCCCATTCCCGCCTTCCCGCACGCTCCGCCGGAGTCAGACTGCAACGGAGTCGGCGTACTACACGCGATGCGGAAGACGCGAGACCAATGCCACGCGTGCGTATCATACCCGTTCTCGTCCCGGACGCCGTCTCTGATACGATGGAAGGACCATTTATCCGCCATTGCTGGCACTTATGAGCCTCGCACTTAAGCTACTGGCACCAACATGTGGGTGCAAGCCCAACACCCGATCAGTCTGCCTTCATGATAGGCAAGCGAAGCCAAAAAATCATGTCTGGTGCCTCTGCGCGCAATTGAATGTTGTGGCGATGGGCAAACACGAATGGATTTCCCGACGTCCGATTATCAAGTTTCAACTGACAGCGGGCTCAGCGACTTCAAGTTGAGCCGACACAAATTCAATGAAGGGACGAGAACGAGATTCCAGCACGAGTGAGCAGCGGTGGGTGAGGAATGTGCCAAAAGGCTGCAGCGAGCGTGCGACGCAGATGATGAACGTTCCGAGAAGTCATTAGCAGCAAGAGCGATAGATCGGGTCAGAGAGTACTGGTGCATTTGACGAGACGAGTTTCCCGAGCCAGCACCAAGAAGGGTTGGGCTCCACCGCAACTGTGGCAGCAGCTCAAAAGGTATGTAGGTCGGATTCCGGGGCACTGTAAAGGAAACAGCGAGTACTGGTTATAAAGCGTACGTCCAGTCCAGAACGGATGCGAAAAAAAAAAGTCAAGTCAAGCCAATACCACGAAGAGATCGCGAGGTACGCAGACGAGCGATTTAAATCCGTCCACCCCAACCCCCGGCGCGCCACTTCAGCTCGCACTACTGCCAGTGCCGGTGCCCTCCTCCGCACGCCCGGCGGTAAGCGTACCTAGGTGATCGTTGAGGAAGCGCGTCTACCTTTGGGCCACTTGCCGCCGTGGGAGCGGCAGCGAGTCCTCATCGCTCGATTCCGAACTTTCCGACAAGTCGTCGTCGTTGGCTGCGGCTGCGGCTGCGGCTGGGCGCGGCGGCCGCCCACCCGTACTCATTCGCGCGGTGCGGCGGGGCAGGCGAGTGGGAGGTGCAGGGGGCGAAGGCGAACGCCGAAACGGTTGGAGCGGCGGCGAGACGGCGCAGGGCAGGAACGCGTACGCCATGCTGGGATCGTAGCTGTGATGCTGCTCGCACCGCGTCTCTAGTGCGCCGAGCGGGTTTCCGCTACATACAAAGACGGACATCAGCGCCAGAGAAGCAGTCGAACCGGAATGAATGGAGGAGACGCGAGACGCACCAAACTCGACATCCAGCCCCGCGTATCGCGCACCCACAATTTTTCTCATGCAGGTTCAGGTGCTTGATCGCTTCTGGCGCAAAGTAGGCGCGCTCCAGAGGGACGACGTCCGGACACGCGCCTGAAACGGAGCCGCGCCAGTGGCGCGCTGCGCGGGCGCTGGTGTGAACGCGTGTCCCGCAGCCCGTAGAGCGTTTTTGGCGCTTGTGTGGAGGCTCTGGGGTCGGCGAGGGAGGCGAGGGCAGGATCTGCGGGTGCGGCGCTTTTGACAGCGCGTCTGAGACCGAGGAGTATTCGCAGTCGACGTCAAGGCCGCAGAAGAGGACCACGTATCCCTGGTCGATGTCCTGGATGGAGTCGGGAGTGATGGTGTCAGGGTCAGGGAGCCGCGTACCGCGCGGTGGGGGAGAAGGCTGAAATGGGCGGTCTGGCATGTAGTACCGCGGTGCGCCCGGGTCGGGGCTGGGCGAACGGCGCGGTGGGGAAGGCTGAAGGACGCGGCGTGTCGGAAACAGCGGTTGCGGGTCCACGATGTGGTCGTGGCCCACCGTCTCAGGGTCGGGGGACGGCGAACGGCGCGGTGGCGAAACTTGGAATGTGCGGGTGGCCCTCTGGGAACCACGCTGCGGCGGTGAAAACTGGAATACAGGTGTGCGTGGGTTTGGCCGTGGCAATGGAATTATTTGTGACACCGTCTCAGGGTCGGGGGACGGCGAACGGCGCGGTGGCGAAACTTGGAATGTGCGGGTGGCCCTCTGGGAACCACGCTGCGGCGGCGAAAACCGGAACAAAGGCGCGCGTGGGTTTGGCCGTGACGTGCCGGACGGCGGGGACGCAGGGGAACGGCCGCGGTGGTCAGTGGCGGACGAGGAGGTCATTTGTTGCGGACAAAACGCGTGAGCTTACATAACATGTTTTTACCCCGGTGTTCACATTTGTTGCCGAGCTCAAGGCGAATATAGTCGAGAACCGAGTACATTTGCCGCGAAACAATTCAAGCAGAGTGGACGGGATCTTGAAAAAAGCACATCACTGGGTGCGTTTTAGGGCTGCCGCCCGTGCCCGTGACGGGAACGGCCGTCGATTTAACGGGTGGTCACCGGTGTCCCAACGGCCCGTCGAGTGCTTGAAAATTTGTCTAACGAGACAGGACGGTTGACGACACGCCCGTGACGGGTCCACGGGTACGTCTGGAAGATTTCGACAGTGTTTTTTCATCAAATTGTGTTCCTTTGGACATATTCAGACGCGGGGTAGCTATATCGAGCAAGCCGTTGCATGGTCTGAAGTGATAAATTTGTGACATATTTCGATATATTTCTGCATTAATAAATCATAGTCATCTTGCCAAGTGATTCAGAATATTTTTTCAAGCATCCCAGGCTTCGGGAATCGTCGGAGTCGGACGCTGCTCGTGCGGACAGATTCTAGCGGTTAGGCGCAACCTAGAATCTGTCGCCTTTCAGCGTCGCCTTTCAACACACAATAGCAGGCATCCACTAGCCTCGTCGGGCGCACGCAGGCAGGCTAGAAGATTTCTCCTCGGTTCAAATAGTACTAACGTGTTTCACTGGTCGCTATAAAATAATGCGCGGGCTTGGACTTACAAAATTTGCATATATCGATCCTGTGGATGAGGTAAAGAAAGCGGACGTGGTGCACGGTACATCGCTGCATTCTGTGAACTGGTAAAAAGAGGTTAAAGCAGCTGACGGGGTTCGACTCCCCGCGTCCGCCTTGTTCCTCTGCTCGATCACTTTTTACTCAAAGTGCGTAAAGAAAGGCTTGGATGAGAAGAGGGGTAGGTAGGAAGGAAGATAGCGGACGTGGTGCATGGTGCACCGCTGCACTCCTTGAGGTGGGGGATAAATTGCAAGCAGCTATGACGGGGTTCGACTCCCCGCGTCCGCATTAATCTTCACCATCGTTTTTTTTTATCGAGGTGCCTGGAATACCTGGATTAGAGAGGAGTAGGGAGTGAGGAGTAAAGCGGACGTGGTGCACGGCGCACCACCGCCTTATGTGACTTATTGCTGCATGCAGTTGATCATGATCGGGGTTCGACTCCCCGCGTCCGCATAACTCCTGCAGCCAAGTTTTCCTTATCGAAGTCTTCGAATACCTGCATTAGAGGTAGGGAGGGATAAGGAAAGCGGACGAAGTGCACAGCGTACCCCTTGAATAAACGAATTTCGATGTTGAAGCAGTTGAAAGGGTTCGACTCCCCGCGTCCGCCTTGTCTCTCTATCTACCACTTTCTTACACAAAGGGCCTCAGATGCTAGATAAGAGGAGCGGAAGAAATAGAGAAGCGAACAGATGTGGTGGACGGTGCACCGCTGCATTCTGTGGCGTGAGTAACCCAGGAATTACAAACAGCTGATGGGGTTCAACTCCCGCGTCCGCGTAGAGTTGTCCTGTGTTCCTCTTTTTTCACCGCGAGAGTGAGCGAAAACCTTCGAGAAAAGGAGCGCAAGATTAGAGAGAGGAAGCGGACGTGGTGCACGGTGCACTGCTGCACTCCGTAAGGGGAGTACGACGTAGAAGCAGTTGACGGGGTTCGACTCCCCGCGTCCGCCTGAACTCGACAATTGTGTTTTTAATTCCAGGGTCTTCACATATGCCTAGACTTAGTGAGCGTAGGAGTAAAGGGAAGCGGACGTGGTGCACGGGGCACTGCTGCCTTCTTTTCGGCGAGTAGACCAAGCAATTACAAGCAGTTGAACAGGGTTCGACTAGCCTTACTCCTTTCAATCCATTTTTGTTTTTTTGACTCAAAGGTCTTCAAATGTCTAGATGAGAGATGCGTAGAGAAAGTGAGAGGAAGCGGACATGGTTCACGGTGCACCACTGCATTCTATGAAATGGTGCAAAGAGGTTAAAGCAGTTGAACGGGGTTCGACTCCCCGTGTCCGCCTAGGTTGGTCTCAATCATTTTTATTGGTGGATAAGTAATTGGAAAGGCTTGGGTAAGAAGAATGCATGAATGGATGAGGAAAGCGGACGTGGTGCGTGGTGCACTGCTGCATTCTGTAGTCACCCATACACTCAACTTGCAGGCAGTTGGTCGGGGTTCGACTCCCCGTGTCCGCCTTATTTCTCTCATCAGCGGCTTTTAAATCAAAGAAGTGCCTCAACACGTGCATATATCTAGGGTAGGAACTGAGAGAGGAAGCGGACGTAGTGTACGGCGCACCACTGCATCAAATGATCATGAGCCGCTTGTGCGAACAGTTGAAGCAGCTGATCGGGGTTCGACTCCCCGCGTCCGCCTGGATTTCCTTCTCCCCGCTTTTTGTTTCAAAGCGCCTCAAAGACATGAATAAAATGAACTCAAGATTAGAAAGAGGAAGCGGACGTAGTGTACGGCGCATCGCTGCGTTCTATGGTGCAGAGGTGCGATTACAAGCAGTTGAGCGGGGTTCGACTCCCCGCGTCCGCATAAGTGTCTTCAACAACAGTATTTTTATTGAAGCGCCTCAAAATGCTTGGATTTAGCGCAGGAGTAGAGAATGGCAGCGGAATTGGTGTACGGAGCATCGCTGCATTCTGTAGGCATTCAGGGCATACATCAAAGGCAGTTGAACGGGGTTCGACTCCCCGCGTCCGCCTAGGTCTTTGGTACTCATTGTTTCCCTTATCGAGGGGCCTCCAAAATACTGGAGATCAGAGTACGGAGGGAGGCGGGAGGCGGGCGTGGTGCACGGTGCACCACTGCGTTCGGTGGGTAGGAATGATGAAGTTGAAGCAATTGAAAGGGTTCGACTCCCCGCGTCCGCCTACCGCTCCTTCAAACCAAAATTTTTTATACTGAAAGTGCTTCAAGCCTCAAAAGCCTACATATATTTGTGGTAGAGACTGAGAGGGGAGACGGACGTGGTGTACGGCGCGCTGCAATGCATGGTCCGTGGGTTTCTGAAATATGAAGCAGCTGGTCGGGGCTCGACTCCCCGCGTCCGCATGCCCCTCTTATACAATCCTTTTTTCCCCCAAAGGGCGTCAAATGCTTGGATTTAGTGAGCCGAGGAACTGAGGATAGAAGCGGGCGTGGTGCACGGTGCGCCGCTGCATTCTGTTATGATGTGCCATGATAATTGCTCCAAGCAATTGATGAGGTTCGACTCCCCGCGTCCGCCTCATCCAGGAGTCACCATCTTTTTTTCTCGAGGGGCAAATTCACAGGCTCGAAATATTGAATTAAGAATAAGAGCAAGAAAACATACGTGGTGCACGGTGCACCGCTGCTCCGAATCAGGCGATAGGGAGCTTGAAGCAGTTTCCGGGGGGACTCAGCCCTCAGCGAAGTCGGGCTTAGGTCGGGCTCGGCTTCAAGCCCGAGCCCGCCATCACTTAGTCACTCACCGTGAGAGTACATCTGTCAACTCGCGCTATTGGTGACTCAGCGATCGGCGCAGTGAGGGGGGCGTGGAACTGGGTAATATAAACCAATGCTGGAACGCTCATCTCCCACACCGATTCATCCGCCATGGACCCGAATCTCTACAAACAAGTAAAGACGCAGCGCGAGTTCACCTACGCGTACTACTTCTCTCCGCCGGCCGCAGGAAAGCCAGTCCTGTTCTTCGCGCACGGATTTCCCTGCAGCTCCCACCTCTGGCGTGCTCAGGTCGCATTTTTCCAGCCGCGCGGCTACGGTATCGTCGTCCCAGACTTGCTGGGCTACGGCGGGACGGACAAGCCGACGGACCCGAAGCTCTATACCGGCGGTGGCCTCGCGCAGGACGTCGTGGACATCCTCGACGCGGAGGGGATCACGCAGGTCGTTGTCATTGGACATGACTGGTGCGTTCTATTTTATTGTTTACGTCTCTTGGTCTTTCGCCTAATGAGCGGCACAGGGGATCTTATCTTGTATCTCGCATGATAAACCACCACCCTAGCCGCATCGCGGCCTGCGCGTTCGTGACTGTGGGGTACAGCGCGCCAAGCTCTGTGTACAAAGAGATACTGACGCAGCCGCCGGGCCTCATGACGCAGAGGGTTGGCTACGAGAACTTTGCATATATGCGCTTCTTTGCGCAGCCGGATGCCGCAGACATCATCGAGAAGAATGTAAGGGAGCTTCATATGCTAAGATATTTGATGTTAAGCCTGAGGTGTAGATTGACTCTTTCCTCTGCATGTTTTACCCGGAGAGCCCGACGATTTGGAAGGACAACATGTGCGTCGAGGGCGGGGCACGCGCGTGGGTGGAGAGCAACAAGATAGCTCCGCTCGCTTCATACATGACACCCGAGGTAATGAATTCTCCAAAGATCTTGATGATCGGCCTAATTGAAATTTTCAAGCTCGCGGCTCGCGAACGAACCGTCCTTCTCACGGATGGTCTCGCTGCCCCGCTATGTTGGTTCAAAGTCAACCTTGAGGACGCCAAAGCGGCGGACGATGCGAGTGAGCCTGTGTTCTCCCCGGTTGCGAAATTCAGCTAACGGCCCTGTTTAATCCCAGCCGTGCTGCCGGAGGCGCATTTTGTGACGCAACCCCTCCTCTTCGTGGCCTGTACGCGCGATGCCGCCTGCCTCCCAATCTTCGGGGATATTAATCACGCTAAATATGCGAAGGGAGGAGTTACTCGGAGAGAGCTGGATGGGGATCATTGGGTGCTCGAGTCGCACCCCGCAGAGATTAGCGGTATATTGAACGAGTGGATTGATGGTCTTGATGTTTAGGGACCCGGGATATCTTATTACTGGGTATATTAGAGCGCTGTGGTATAATCCATGTCGGCGTCGTCGGCTGGCCGAAAATCCTGAGCATGTCGCTAGGGAATATGGTCAATCCTGCAGCTCCGGACAGGCTCCGATCATCTCAGATGTCTGGCGCAAATACGGGTCCGGACAGGTCGTGCTCCTGTTAATAATATCCCCAGCTTTGGGCACATCCTCTGCGCCTATTCCTGCCCGGCTCCAGACATATTCACGTCTTGACAGGCGGGAATCTTACCCTCCGTAGCTCTGTCCGGGTCCGGTCAATTTTGGTTTTCCGCAGTGCTTGATACAAATACCTCTCTGAGCTCTGTGATAAATCATAAGGTGTTCTGTGCATTTCCTCCCAAGTTTCTTTTTCTTTCGACATTGCAACATTCCATCAAACATCGCTCGGCGCTTGCCGCGCTTGTCGCCCAGTGGCTGTGCATTGCTGTGCACTGCATAACTTGACCACGAGCTGTCACCAAGCCATCCAGCTCCCATGTTCGTTGCAAATTCCAAGCGCAGGGTGCGCTCAGGGAGGAGTCGCCTCCTGCCCTTCGCACACGGCTCGCAGAACTCTATAAAGAAATAGATGTTCTCGAGGCGAGATTACGTGGCTGCAGAGCGGCGTCGTGTTATCCAGGACCTAGACTCCATTGTATATCCCGTTCTCACCTTGCCCCCAGAAATCACCGCTCACGTCTTCTCCTGCTACGTGGACAGTCCTCATCTCGGTCGCACAAGTGATCAAGGCCTAAAACCACTGCTATTAGCGAGCGTGTGCAGGGACTGGAGGAACATCTGCCTTTCGGTTGGCTCCCTGTGAGCATCTCTACGGATCTATCCGCCACACGACTCGATTCGGGACCTTGAGAACCTCCTTAACCTCCTCCGACTCTGGCTCCAGCGTGCCGGGCGCCATCCTCTAGATCTACGCATATTCGGATCCAAGTATACATCGCAGATATTCTCCGTCATATCTCACTACTCGCCGCAGTATCGGACTCTCAGATTCCCTTTGACGCCCCCATTTTCCTTCTTGAATACGGAGCTTCACGGGCGCATCCCGTGCTTGAATACTTCACGGACCAGCAGCTGGATCCAGGGGCGATGCTGACCGCGTTCAGTGACGCGCCTTCTCTTCGCGAGGCACAGCTATCTGGCGCCTCACTCCAGTGTATCTCGCTCCTATGGATCCAGTTGACTCATCTGGGATTCTCCTACCAACCGCTCTCCGCACGCGTGGATATATTACGACATACCACAAACCTCAAGATTTTGTGCCTTCATACAACGCCTAGTCAAGGTGCCGCCGACTCATCTTCTACACCCGTTCACCTTCCCAAACTTCACACTCTCAAATTCTCGAACACCCGAGGCGGCATGCTCCTCGGTTACCTCACTCTACCAGCGCTGCGAAGCCTTGAGCTGACGTCGCTGACGAGCCTGAACCTGCTGCTTCAACTCGGTCTGCGATCCGCATGGTCGCTGCGCTCCATCCGCCTAACAGCCATCAGTAACACCGCTGTGCTAATCCTTTGCCTTCGGTCCATCCCGTCCCTCGAGGACGTCAACACCGAGTGGCCGGATTACTTCTGGAACCCTCTGATCGCCCTCCTCGCCCACGACGACGCTTTTTTGCCGGCACTCCGCGTGCTGACTCTATCCGCAGTCGTCGGCAACGTCTCCAGCGTGCCACTCGTGGAAATGATGGAACGGTACTCGCCATGGGGTATCGAAGCTGGCGTCTTTCCGCCTATACTTTCCGCATGCCCTTGGTCACCTCGACGCGGACGCGATCGACGAGATGCGAACGCACCTTGGCCCACTAATGAGCGAGGGCATGGATGTTGTGCTCAGGTGATGCGCGGAGTCAATGGTGTGTACGGATTCTTTCGCACTGTATCAGAAACTAACGCATACAGCCTTTTTTAGACTGTAAGAGTTAATAAGATTTCACTGGGGATTGTGCTGGGAACAAAGCAGCGCCCAATCCATCGGGTTCCAGTCGGCCAACGCAGCGTAAAGTTCTCCTGGGCGTTGGAATCCAAAAATAAGTATCCTTGACGAATTCGACGTCTCCTTCCTTGGCAGCGAACGCTGCAGTAATATTCAAACACGAACGGGACGATGCAGCCGCGGCGAAGAAACTTTGCATAGCGCCCTGACTAGGACCTTACTGGCCGAGCTTTCTGTCAGGTGCGTATCCTGGGTGCTTGGCCCCGTGATTTCTCCAAGGTTTGGGCATCCCCGGGGACGCTGAGATACTTGATCTGCACGTTTTAGAAGCTCGTTGATGACCAAGCATCCTTTCAGGGATGAATTCCCTGCCCGAGGCATGCCCGAGGTGGGTGACCTGTGTCACACGCCGAACTATGGCGTCACTCACTCGGGGATACGCGGGGATGATTTATCACGCCCGGGCTTGGTTCATTCGCGAGGGAAAGCAAAGTTGAATGTGACCCATTTGAGAGGTATAAAACCAGCGCTCCAGATGCTATTATCTATCCAAAGCAACCAACCAAACTCTCAAGCAACTCTCTCCTCTTCGAAATTTAATTT